ATGCTTTGGGTTGCAAAGCATGAGGTCCAGAGCCAACAGCACTCTGTGGGAGAAAGATGAGAGCTTCTACTTGAGTGCCGAGTTCGAGTCTCAGAGACCCACGGGGCCGTTCTACTCTCTCCTATGGAGTCACGATGAGTCGGAATCGACTTGATGGTAATGAGGGAGAGGTTCAGATTGTGTTCCTTTTCAGTGTTCTTTGGGTTTGGGCAGCAAAAGGAAGTCGGAAGGGGCAAGATTAGAGCTGGAGGGTGGATGGTGTCAGGTGTCCCAAAAAAGTCTTATGGGACAGCCCTTCATACCCATGAAGAAGGAGCAGGTGCTTTGTCGTGATAGGGGCGGTGGGGGTGGGGGTGGGGATTCCTTAGGACAACTTTCCTGGCCTCCTCACCAGTGCAGTTTTCCTTTTCCTTCAAGCTTCATAACGAGCCCTGTGGTAGTCCGGTGTCCTCTGAGAAAATCTATCGAGACTATTCCTTTGAATTTTCTAAAAAAACAAACAAACCCCAAAACAAAAAACGATGCTATGACCTTCTGAGGTGACCTCTCTGCTTTGAGTTTGACTGGCCCAGCAAATGCCCTTGGAAGCCACTGAACCCATCCACTCCCGGGCAGTCGATTTTGACTCCTAGCAACCTTACAGCACAGAGTAGAACTGCTCCAAAGGATTTGGGACACTAAGCTTTACAGGAGTAGACAGCTTTCTCTTTCTCCCACAGAGTGGCTGCTGGGGCTGAACTATCAACCTTGTGGTAAGCAGCCTAACACTTAACCCACTGTACCATCAGTGACCTTTAATGAGACAGAGATAGTGTATTACTGACAGAGCCCTCCACTGATTGGAGAATCATGCTTAAAAAAGTTTTGTTAGGAATCAACCTGAGCATGTATGAACTGGAAACCTAATAGCAATACTTTTGGACTTGCCTTTATATTAAAACCAAACCAAAACTTTGCCATCGAGTTGATTCAAAGTCATCTCAACTCCATGTGTACAACTGTACCGTAGAGTTTTCATCACAGTGCTCTTTATGGTAACGGATTGCCAGACCTCTCTTCCGCAGCATCTCTGGGAAGGTTTGCACTGCCAACCTTCCCAGTTATAACTTGAGAGCAATAAGCTCTGCCCCCCTGAACTGTTGTGAGCTATTGTGCAGAAAGTTACCATGTCTTCTTAGCCTTTGGGACTTGGAGAAACTGAACATTCATTTTTCCCCTTTTAAGGGAATTAAATTAAAAAGTGTGCTCACCTTAAACTATCGTTATATTTAACCTGATACAGGATTTCTAATTTTGCATGCCATTTCTTTTTTTTTAATCGTTTTATTAGGGGCTCATATGGCTCTTATCACAATCCATACATACATCAATTGTGTAAAGCACATTTGT